AACCATACACGCGAATGTGCCACAAGTAGCTGGGGTAGATTATTTTTCACTGTCTCATCAGCTGATCCCACAGGCTTAGCAGCTTCAGAGGACGGCGCTGTGCTGCTGCCGATTTGTCGCACTCAGGGGAAATCAAAATTTTCCTCTATTAGAGGTCATAAAGCACCATCTGTTTTGGACTCAGGAGACACACAAACTGAGGTGTTCGCAGAATACACACATTTCTTTATAGAAAATTTAAACACGGAAATTTTTATGCTCAGGTAAATCTTGGGTAAATGAGTGGCGAGCCTACGGCAGTTGCGCTGACTCTTGCTCAAGGCTACCAAACAAACAGTGCTATCCAAATCAGTCACATTTGATATGACAAATACATACAGTATATTATACGATTTAAGTTGTGCTAAAATGTGTCTTGATATTGATGATTTTGGCAATAAACAGGAAATTCAATTTGCAACCCCATCCACAAAGCTACACTGCTTAAATACACTAAGTTTCAAATAAGAACCTGTGAATCATACATAAGATATTTTAAAACTATATTTGACATTTTTCATGTTTAGACTTGGCTCTTGCTGTAAGCACTGCATTACTTTAAAAGAACTGCTGCACCACTGATAAATCTGCTGTGCCTCACTGTGTATATACTTGTATGAATGAATACACATTGCGGGGACAAATTTGAGTTTTAGATCATCGAAGTGAGGATATTTTGGCCAGTCCTCACTTCCTGACAGCCCTTAAAAAGGCAGTTTGAGGGTGAAGGCTTAGTTTTAAGGTTCAGGTTAGAATTAGGTTTAGCTTAAGGGAAGGGTTGGGGTTAGGCATTTAGCTATGACGGTGAAGGTTTGGGTGTGGGGTTAGTGAGTGCATTATGTCAATGAGTGTCCTCATAAAGAATATCTGTACAAACTTATGTGTGCATGTGTAACTGGACACAGTATGCCCTTGTATAATTGCTGTGGCAAGTGGGGCTATATTTCTCTCTGCTCATTAAGTTTAATTATACTCCATATTATCTACTATGGACCATATTAAAGAATAATAAAAAATTACAGAGTCTGTGGCAGCTATACTGACCTCCTCAACAGCCCTGAGCACATGAAGACAAATTAAAGCAGAACCACCTGGTCAGAAGTCAGCTCACTCTTGCCATAAGCTTCTAAAACCTTCTTGCAAAACAGCAAGAAAAGTAATGAAGTAAAGGCATGCTTATTTTGGCATTTGCAATGTCTCTGCCATTTCTATATTTTATTTAAAGCATAAGTTTCAAATTCAAACTCATTGCTGTGAGCACATCTGGGAACTGTATCTATTATAATGTTACCCTGGCAGACTTTGAAAACTGATGACTCATATACCTACACTGGTAATATGGTGCTACACCTGCCAGCGTGGCCACAGGAAAAAGGTCAGAAGGATTTGTCCTTCCTGCTCATTGTGCACAAACACACTCGGTGCTGACGAGATCTGTACGTAGACACACAGCATTTCCACATAAAAAAAAAAAATCCACATCAAGACTCAAAGTAACCCACACCAATAACGTAACACAGCTAATCCCCATCAACAGAGAACCACAGCCAAGACACAACTGCCACAACAGCAGACAGACTGAAATTACCTCCATTCTGACCTGCTACAGAAACATGCATTCATGCTAAAGAGCTAATGCTTTGGCCTGTTTCATGTAAAAGATCATCACCTGTTAACATGGCACATAACGCAGAACAAACACCGTACACACTGAGAAGACAGAAATAACTCGCCTGTTTAACACAGTAGTGCCATTCAACCACCCATAAATCTGTGTTACACAATTTGTGGATTTTCCCTTAACAAAGACAAATTGGGGTCAATAGTTCAGCAGACTATTTACTGTAACATGTCATCAGACTGACAAGTTAACATGCAGGCTGTTCAATAATCTTCAGCTGTATTTGAAGCAAAGAACATTTAAAACTGAAATCTGAGACTAAGCTGCGAACAGACATGACCTCGGGCCTAAAGGCGGATGTCCCCATTTAGTGGTGCTTCAACAGAGGTCCTGCAGCCCAAAGGGACTGTCCTGCAACTAAGGGCAATGTCCTCTGAAATCCTATTACACCAGTTTATTGATCATCATGAATAAAGAGTTGTTTGGGACTAACAGAACCTGAGTGACTTTTATCTTGGCGCAAAAACAATACCTCGTCCTCTTTCGCTGAGGCTGGCTGGATGTGTGTATCTCTACTTGTTTCATCTCCAGACAGAGAGCAAAGAGGATACATACAGGAGGAAATAGAGGTCAGCTCTGTTCCTGACGGAGGGGCGTGCACTGCCACCTTTGTTCAAAATCATCCTGGCCTCCCACCTGTCCCTGTCTCTGCTGGCCTCTCACATTCACCAGAGTTCAATGAAACAACAACTGACAAAATGAAAAAGGAAGAAATAAGCCTTTGGATGCATGAACTGCGTCTGATTATTGGTCAAATCTGACCACAAAATCCTCATATAAGAGCTATGACTGTACAGATGAGTGACAAATTAAAGGAAAAACCTGAATAAATGAGTGGGGAAATATAACAAATGCAGATGCTCAAATGATTTTTGTCCCCTTAATGGGGCAGAGTCATTGCAAATCACTTCAAAGTTGATCTGAGTGATCACCTTTACCTTATGATGAAACATTCGATGGAAGTGGTCTTTTCCAGGATGAGCGCCCACATCCACAGAGCACAAAGGTTCACGGAATCGTTCGATAAGTATGAAAATGATGTGGACCATACACTAATCAGCCACAACATTATGACCACCTGCCTAGTACTCTGTTCACAGGAGTCAGTGTGGCAATCGGATGGCACTCTGCAACTCACTGTGGATCTGTTTGCTTCCATAGTTAATGGTGCCCATTAACCCATCACCTTTTTAGAGACTATAAGCTGGTTTTTCCTTTCATTTGTCACCCGTCTGTATATTCTGTGTCCAAATTAGTCTTACAATAAAACAAACTGGATGATTAAAGGCTGGAGACAGGGCTGCATTCTTGAGCCAGAAATTACTCCATACAAAAAAAGAAAGAGACTTCAATGGAGAGAGAACGACTGACTTCACAAATAACTGATACCTTTTCACAGAGCACTGTTCAGTTTCCACATCATTTTTGCTGTATTTAATACTCACAGGGAAACCAAACTTATGCAGAGCCTCACCTGTGACAAGGATAGACTTGTCACAGGTGCCAATAAAATGAGTTTTGGAGTAAGCATTACAGGTACACCAATTGATCTATCCATACAAAGACTTGCTAGATATGTGTAAAGTGGATCCTTCCTGACACACAAAATCAAATTACACATAAGAGCCACCAATATCTTAAGCTTCAGCCGCTGTCTTACCGCCCACACAGAGATAGTGGTAGCAGCTATTTCTATCTATAATCATCTCCCAGTCCGTCTCCTCTGGGAGTGCTTTTGCTGTCTGTTAAGTA